ATTCTCTTGCCTCAGCCTCCCGAGTAGCTGGGACTACAGGCGCCTGCCACAATGCCCAGCAGTTTGGCCAGGGCTGGGTTTGAACCCGTCACCCTCGGTATATGGGGCTGGCGCCCTACCCACTGAGCCACAGGTGCCACCTGGAAATTTGTTTTTTTTAGGCAGCCTCATTTTGTCACCCTTGGTAGAGTGCTATGGTGTCATAGCTCACAGCAATCTTAAATTCTTGGGCTTAGGCAATTCTCTTGCCTCAGCCTCCCAAGTAGCTGGCTCAAACCTGTGAGCTCAGGCAATCAACGGCCTTGGCCTCCCAAGTGTTAGGATTACAGGCATGAGCCACCTAGAGGAAATTTTTATAAAATACAAGTAATTTAACTATAAGTTAGTGAGAAAAAGCACTTCTCCCTTTCTTGATAAAAGCAAGTGTCCCAGCTTAAACTTTACCTGACAATCTTTTATGTTTTTATTTTGTGAGACAGAGTCTCACTATGACACCCTTGGTAGAGTGCTGTGGCATCACAGCTCACAGCAACCTCAAATTTTTGGGCTCAAGCAATTCTTTTGCCTCAGCCTCCCAGGTAGCTGGGGCTACAGGTGCCCGCCACAACTCGGGCAGTTTTTTGTTGCAGTTGTTATTATTTAGCTGGCCTGGGCCGGGCTTGAACCTGGCTCCTTTGGTGCATGTGGCTGGCGTCACAACCACTGTGCTACGGGCGCGAAGCCTACCTGACAATCTTTATTTGTATGATGCAAAATGGGTCAAGCAACTGGTAACTTTTTTTTTTTTAAGAGAGGAAGATTTTACTCTGTCACCCAGGCAGGAGTGCAGTGGCATGATCATAGCTCTTGCAGCCTTGAACTCCTGGGCTCAAGGGATCACCTTCCTCAGCCTCTGGAATAGCTGGGACTACAGGCATGAATCACTGAACCTGGCCCTACCTGCTGACATTTTAAAGTTCTAGAGATATGACCTACTGGAAAGGCAATATAATTAGGAGTTTATAAGCTTGGGCTAAACCACTCTTGGCTGTGTGGCCTTGAGAAAGTCTCTTAATCTCTCTGAGCTTCAGTATTTCTCAAATATAAAATAAAGATAATCATACCCATATCTACCTCATATAATTATTTGGAGGTTTAATGACATAACAAGAGTTCAGCACAGTGCAACATACAACATCAGGCCAGGCGCAGTGGCTCATGCCTTGTAGGCCTAACACTCTGGGAGGCCGAAATGGGCAGATTGCTTAAGCTCATGAATTCAAGACCAGCCTGAGCAAGAGCAAGACCCTCATCTCTACTAAAAATGAAAAACTGAGGCAAGAGGATCACTTGAACCCAAGAGTTTGAGGTTGCTGTGAGCTATGATGCTACTGCACTCGACCCAGGGGGACAGAATGAGACTCTGTCTCAAAAAAAACAATGTCAAAACCCAAGATACGGTGCTATTATTATTATTACCATTGAAAGATGCTGGTGGATGTTTGACACAGGTAAATTACAAAATTCTGGATGAACAAACCATACTTCTCCCTCCCCAAACTTATCAAGAAAACATGTAAGTTTGGTTCTGATGGTTGAATTAATTCCCACAGAGTGTGAGAATTTTCTTCCTTGTTCCTGAGCTCTCCAATGAGAGGTGTGTGACCACAGGGTATGCAGCTGGGACACTCTGACACCTGAGCTCCAGCATCCACTGCAACTGCAGGCCTGATGCCCGACTCTCCTCTCACTCCCAGGACCTCTGCTCTTCCAGCCAACTCCACGTGACCTCATTCTTTTTTTTTTTTTTTTGAGACAGAATCTCACTATGTCACCCTCGATAGAGTGTTGTGACATCACAACTCATGGCAACCTCAAACTCTTGACCTTAAGCAATTCTCTTGCCTCAGCCTCCCAAGTAGCTGGGACTACAGGCACCCACCACAATGCCCAGCTATTTTTTATTGCAGTTGTCATTGTTGTGTAGCTGGCCCAGGCCAGTTTTGAACCTGCCACCCTTGATGTGTGTGGCTGGTGCCATAACCACTACGCTATGGGCACCAAGCCCTGAAACCTTCTTTATATTGTCTTTTCCCAATCCCATCTCTGTAAAAGAATGAAAAAGTAATCCTATCATCCTATATAGATGATGGCAAATTCCCACTCAGTGGGATCAAATGAATGATTGATGGCACCTTTCAATTGTAATATAGTTATCAGACACCTATTTGTTTTTTGGGGTTTTTTTTTTTGAGACAGAGCCCAAGCTGTCCCCCTGGGTAGAGTGCCATGGCATAGCTCACAGCAACCTCCAACTTCTGGGCTCAAGCGAGTCTCCTGCCTCCGCCTCCCAAGTTGCTGGGACCACAGGCGCCCACCACAAGACCTGGCTATTTTTTTTCCGGTTACAGCCATCATTGTTGTTTGGTGGCCCCGGGCTGGATTCGAACCCACCACCTTAGGTGTATGTGGCTGGCACCTTAGCCACTTGAGCCACAGGTGCCGAGCCCAGACACCTATTAAATATACCACATTTAATGGTATGGGTGGGGAAGAGGAATTATACAAAACAGAGCCTGCCCTCTAAAAACCTCTGTTGAATTGGGGATAAGGTACAAAAGCACAAAGACAAGAAATCTATAGACAGTCATGCCAGCCCAGTGGCTGTGTGTGCACCTGGCGGAGTTGGGTGCTTTACAAGTGCTTTGTCTAACTTCACCTCAACTCAGCAAGTAGATACAATTAGCTCACTTTTACAAATGAGAAAACAAGAGTCTCAATAAGTTAAGGAATTTGTCCAAGGGGACACGATTTGTTCTGAGCTGTGATTCAAAGCCATGTCTATGGAACATGAAAGCACATTCCCTTTCTACTATTCCACATCTGTATGTGGCTCAAGCTACAATTTCAAACACATCCCAGGGTGGTCCATTGTTTTAAGGCGGTCCACAATTTCACTGTCAACTGGAGTCATAACTAGAATGTGTAGGCAGCTCCCATAACTCAGTGAGTAGGGCACCAGCCACATCTACCGAGGGTGGCAGGTTTGAACCTGGCCTAGGCCAGCTAAAACAACAATGACAACTGCAACAAAACAATAGCCAGGCACTGTGGCAGGTGCCTGTAGTCCCAACTACTTGGGAGGCTGAGGCAAGAGAATTGCTTAAGCCTGAGAATTTGAGGTTGGTGTGAGCTGTGATGCCACAGCACT